CTAGCAGCCGCTCGGGTTGTCAAAAAAAAAAAAAAAAAGTCACCAGTCCAGTCGCGCCGCTAAACGCACGGTGCACTGAGAGGGTGAGACGTAGAGGGGACTATCCGCAACTTCGAGGGGGAGGAGTGGAACGTAGATGGAGAACGCGGGCTGGGGAAAGTGATAGTGATAGTGTAACCATCGGAGCAACATGATGCAACGCCAAGTCGCCGACAAGGACAAGACGGAACAAGCAAGACTCTGCTGCAAGAGAGACAAACAAAAGAGTCTTAAGGACAAGACGAAATCCGCAAGAGCCAGACGAAAGAGTTAACCCCCGAGCGCCAGCATCGGTCATCATCAGGGGCAAAGGAACAACAGAGAGCGACGGAGCAATGACGACACAGAGGAGGCATCACTACCGAACCACATCGTCAGTGATCATGTGATGTGAACTTATTTTGTTGTTGTCTTCATTGGTTTGCGAGTCTCTTTGGGGAGTTTTCCCTTCTCGCTTATCCTGATGCAGAAACGAGCACTACTACCTTCTCGCTTATCCTGATGCAGAAACGAGCACTACTGATGGGACTAGTTTGAAGTGTAGTACTTGTTCGGAGTGAGCACGCTTGTGCTGAATTCCAGTCCACCGGCTCTCACCACTCGACATAGTTAATCCAGACAGAGAGAGGGTGGGCAATTCCCCTTGATTGAGTGCGCATACAAGTCAATCCAAATCCAAATCCCTCCTTTCCTTGTTGTCTTTCCTTTTCACTAAGTCTTGCAATCCCTTCCTTTAACCTGGAGACAGCTCGGAAAAGTCATCCAATCGTCCCAAACCAGGCAGCAGGCAGACGGATCAAGCAAGTTGGGCCCTGTTTGTGGGAGGGGGGGGGGGGCGGCAGCTCAGTGGGTAGAGCTCAGGTGTGGCAATCAATCAATAGGTTCAGGGAGGGTTCGATTGGGGTCGGCCGCAATCGGAGTCAATCCCTGTGTGAAGTCCTGTTAAGTCCTGTTGGTGTTATACAGCATGAGTCCGCATGACACCCCGCGCGCACTCAGCGACCGACTACCATCTTCACCCCCGAATAGAACGCCCGGTAATTATCGCCGTATCTGGGCTGAAAGTTGAGCCAAATACGGCTATAATGACCGGGCGCTCTATTCGGGTCAAGACGGTAGTCGGTCTAGCGCAGTCAAGCTTGGATATCGTTGGTTGTGTACTATGTGTACTACTGTCAGAAGCAGTGATGTCCGGGGTAGGGGGCGGGAAGTGGTTGGTTGGAGTATGTGGGGCTAAGCTAGGAGCGGCTGGGGTGGATTAGTAAGGTCAGATTGTGTGTGGCAGGGTGGATAGTTGTGGGTGGGAATAGATGAAGGTATCAGTGGCAGTAGTACTGGTTGAACAGCCATAGAGGGTGTACGTGGGCCTGGTTGGAGGGGGTACGTGCCCCCCCCCTTTGGCCCTTTGAGGTCCGGCAGGTGCTGAGTACATTCGTAACGTTGGATTGTCAGTGTGACTAGGCAAAGGGGGATAAGCATTACTTCATGATTCAAGGACGAGAAGGGTACCACATACTATGGGTATGGGGGGTTGGTTGTACGAAGTGAGTAGAGTCTAGCCGCTCCAGGGGTTGGGAGGGGGCTGAGTGCATTAGTGACATCAGACTGGACGTAGGAATCAGATTGGGAAGCATCGTTGATATTAGCAGCAAGACTGCCTTTTTTCAACATATATATATATAGCCTCCTGATGAGTCGGTGAAACTCCGACGAAACAGTTTGTCACAGCCCCTCGTTTGTTGTCCTCTTCTCCCTCTCTGCCTACGGTTTACCGGGCAGTTCTATTTGACGATATATATATATATATGTGACGATATATATATATATATATCGTCACAAACAGTATATATATATAACATCATTCACAGGACTACTGATAGCATTACCTGAAGAATCAAGATTGTACACGAAAGACTCATGAGTGTATCCTCGATAGCATTGCCAATAGTTGCACCAATAGTTGGCGCTCAGCTGGATGCGAACTGGACCACTGGTGGGCCGCCCGTGCCACATGAGACACCGCCTGTTGTGGCATGGTGGCATGGTGGCATGGTGAAGGTGGTAGACATGAGGATTAGTAGGTGGGCATCACGGACAGTGCTTGTACGATGATGATATCGCGTAGGCCAAGGCGGCCGCTTCTTCCTGTTCGGGTTTGTGATGCAGGGGACCATGACACAGGGACAGGTCCTGTGACCCATAGTGACGGATGATACAGAAGTCGCTCTGAAACAAGTGGCCTCATTAAAAAAAAAAAGAGGGCTATAGGAGATAGGCGCGCCGCGTTAATATTGAGGTTGGGAACTAAGGAACTTGGGATGGGTCAGAAAGAGGGCTATAGGCTTTAGGATATAGCCTCGCAATACTCACAAGCTCTGGCTCGCAAAACCCATCTAAATCCCTTCTCGCACACCCCACTACTGCTTCCTGGCCAGGAGAATCATCACCCCCCCCCTCTCTCTCTCTCTCTCTCTCTCTCTCTCTCTCTCTCTCTCTCTCTCTCTCTCTCTCTCTCTCTCTCTCTCGTTCGCTCGCTCGCTCGCTCGCTCTTGTGTGTGTGCGTGTGTGCCTCTGTTCAATACCGATTCACGTTCTTCTCAAGACATTCCTGACCGACGACTGGTCGAATGGTTCGGGCGGGTATGCCCAACCCTGCAACGAACATTGAGATCATCGCATTTCTTTGGGCAGGTGCTCTCTCAATTGGTATTCATAGCCTCACCAAAACATGAGAAACGGATGCCTCTGTCATTGCTGCCCACAATCACCAGCGACTGATAGTGCATTCCTTTCATGCTTTGTTAAGACCCTGATGATCGACTGATTGATTGATTCAATCAATGACTATGAAGCTCGTTGGGTGGTTGATCAGTCAGTCAGTCAGTCAGTCAGTTGGATGGCTCCTTTTTTTGACTAATTGATTGATGAATTGATTGATTAACTGATTGATTGATTGATTGACTGATTGACTGAGTGATTGATCCAATCAATCTTGAGAGACTGAGGTCGATCCGGCTGACGCAACCGGGGCCAGCGTCACATTAATCAATTCAAAACTTCAAACAGAGGCCCAGAGGGTATACTACGCGCTCCCTTCGCAAAACCAGACCTCTTCCACCCTACACCAGTGGCATCGGTAGTTACCTTGAAACCAAGCCTGATCCCGCGAGACACTTGACTCAGCAGGCCTTACACTTGCAGATGCTGCGCAACAATACAAGTAATTGTTCTGGCGCGCCCCACCAGTGGACGGGGCCTCAGCAGGGAAAGAGCAGACCTGAAGCTTTGGGGCATCCTCAGCAGAGCAGCAGGCTGGGGCATCCTCAGCAGAGCAGCAGGCTGCTGCACCAAACAAATCTTCTTCTTCTTTTTTTTTTTTTTCTAATTTGGACCATTTCTCGATTTATGCGTGTCATCCTTGCGCAGGGGCCATGCTAATCTTCTCCGTATCGTTCCAATTTTAACGGATGTCCCGAAGGA